ACAGGGCAAAAACACAGGGCTAAAATAATCATAGACAAACGAACTAACAGGATAACAAGGGGGGCGTGGATAATAAGAAACACCTGGGATAACTAATAGACAGGTCAGGGAACCACTGAACATGAAAAGACAAGACAAGACACAAAACCCACATCATGACAATTATGTTATCTGAACTACATGAATTATCTAAGTTGATTTGACAAAAGATAAAAAGTTGTGATAAATCACAAAGATATTTTTTACAGTATAATGAAGAAATTATATATTTCTGAGATTTTTTTTTAATGGTGACTGCAAAATACTTAATCACTGCTTCATTTATTTATTTAAAGACTTAAGATTTAAAGGACTTTGTCCTCAGAAGTAGGCCTATCGCAAGCCTGTTGTTGAGTAAGTCAGAAATAGAACGGGGTCCCGTGTCCAATGTGGACTGCGTCGTATCGAGCAGCTCGCATCCGTTAGATCACTTGCACTCTCTCTCTCTGCCAAAGAACCAGTGAATACTGCGAGAAAGCGTAGTACTGACACCTGCTGAAGTATTCTGGTAATAGTGAGGGATGTATTCTGTCCAATTTCTCCCGTTCTGCCTCTCTCTTTCAATTTTATCTTTGACCCGGTGCCAAACTTTAGTCATCCTTAAAAGAAATACATAATTTCACAACCCTTTGAAAGCGTAAGGGTGAGGTTTATATAGCGTTAAAATTGCCTTGAATGAATGTTCTGGAATTTTTGTCATGGTCCTTGATGTTCAGCCTTATGGATCAGAACAAATTTTCCAGTCACACTTGTGCTGCTGGACTGCAGTTTGCTTCTGGTTTCAGCTTCACTGTTTACTTCTTTACTGTAGTATCTTACTAAATAAAGTGGTCCTAATTTGCACTTTATTACACATACTGGCCATAGACTTCAATTGTCTAAACGTGGGAGAATATTTGAAAGGTAGTGACCCAGAAGGTGAATGTGATACAACAACATTCCAATCAACCAATCGGATTTGAGGGATAAACTTTATATCAAGTTTAGGCATCAGTGTTATCACATTCTACATCAGTGTTATTCACCAGTCAGTTCCCTCTGATTTTAGGGATAAATTACGGGTAGGGTTAGGTTTAGGGGTGAGGATGTGGTTAGGACCAAATTTTCAGACAGAAATGTTGTTCCAGGATCAACAAAATAGTCTTGGCAAAATAAAGGTGACTTTTTATCAAGGCAAGATATTATTTATGATTTTTTAAACAAATCTCTTATGTTCACCAAGGCTGCATTTGATCAATAATACACAGCAATATTGTAAAATATTATTACAACTTAAAATAACTATTTTAATATAAAATGTAATTTATTCCCGTGATGGGGACTCTTCACTTTACTTGAAGGGGTGTGCATAAGACTGACATGACACCTTCATAACCATGACATGACATATGTCATGAATATGAAGTAGGGTTTATGCATGTTTATGACAACTGTCATGAAGTGTCTTTCGCTCAATAATGACATTTTGAATGCAAATAAGACATTGTTTAAGATGTCTTTGTTATGACATCTTGACATAAACCATAACATCATAACCTGTCAGTGTCTTTGTCATGACAACTTGACATTAAATTAAATTAAACTGTCATGTGGTTGGCTTTGACATTGGCTGTCATAAGGCCGTTATAACTGTGTCATGAATATTTTTCGTGATCTCAACTACAGTGGTACAAATTTAACTTGTCATTAAAAAGTTATTATGGCTTCATGACAGCCAATGTCAAAACCAACCACCTGACAGTTTAATGTAATGTTAACCAATAAAGCTAAGTGGTTTCTTAAGTTTGATAATTAATCTGCTATGTCATGTTTATGACAGGTTGTGTTGTCTTAGTAATGTCAAGTTGTCATGACAAAGACACTGACAGGTTATGATGTATTTGTTTATGTCAAGGTGTCATAACAAAGACATTTCAAACAATGTCATATTTGCATTAAAAATGTCATAACTGAGCGAATGACACTTAATGACAGTTGTCATAAACATGCATACAACTTCCTTTATATTCATAACATGTGTCATGTCATGATTATGAAGGTGTCATGTTAGTCTTATGCACACCCCTTCAAGTAAAGTGTTACCCTGTGATGCAACGCTGAATTTTCAGCATCATTACTTCAGTCTTCAGGGTCACAATGTTCCTTCAGAAATCATTCTAAAATGCTGATTTGATGCTCAAGAAACATTTATTATTAATATCAGTGTTGAAAACAGTTGAATTTTTGTGGAAAGCATGACACATGAAGGAAACAAAAAAGCAGCTTCCAAAGATGCTTGAATATGCAGGTTACATTTACAGGTGTGTGTTGTTCATTTCACACTTCTGTTATGTGGAAAACCTCTCTGGACTACTGATAAATGCAATTATGTTGACTGTTGTGAGGCACAAGATTATTTTCAGCTGTGAGCAGCTAATGAAGCTATTTCTCACTGTGACATTTTCAGTGACATTTTTATTGTGAAAAATGTTTTATTTACAGATTACAGTCTCAGGTGCATATAATGCCTGTTTTGAGGAGTTTTAAGTCACGGATCGATCATGTCCACTGCTGTTTATCTATCTGGTAAAGGAGGTCATTCAGAGCCACAAGATCGAAACGTGAACATGTGACCTGGAGGCAAAGATGAATGAAGGAGGACAGACGGGACTTATCAGCACTTCATGATGGAAAGGTAGGAAAAAGTCCTCACGTTTTCAAGTAATTCTTGCCACTGTCCATTTGCAGACACTGTGAAGGATTGATCCAATCAATCAGCCAATGACTGTAGATTTTCCTTTCAGACAGAACCACTATACATTCCATTTTTCATCCGTTCGGCAGATTTTTCAGAGCATAACTATAACTGTTCTTTCTGGAACTGCCATTTATGATAATAAGTTGGAGATATTTTTTTTATGGTTAAATTAATTTGTTCTTTGAACGCTCTACAAAGTTGACTGCTAAAGTGAACGCCTCAAACTGAGAAAGAGCAGACGGCGGCAGAATTATTAGCTTGTACAGCGCGCAATACAGCTATTTTATTTGGTTGACTTTCAACTTTTTTATGTCATTTGTGACACTTTTTTCATATATTACATTGACTTTGGAGTAACAGTCAGTGCAGAGTCTGAATAATGCCGAACACTTCATCTTACTGTGTTGACACCTGTGGCTTCAAGGTTCAAGCTTCTTTTATATATGCTTGAAATATTTCAAACCTGCAACGTCTGACTTGTTTGAAAAATCAGACACCAGATCATGGGAATGTTTATGACAGGTTTATTCAAGGCACTGTCAGTCTTGCTAATTGGAAATGGATAGATAGGTAGAAAGGGCACTGATTGCTTATTTCTTTTTCCTTTTTTTAGCTCTTCATCTGCAACGCATACAACAGAAATAAACAGACATAAATTAACTTTAGGATATTACGGTCAACATATCTGCAAAACATGTGAAGTCGACTTTGAAAGTAATGTTTCTTTCCAAGAGTATAACAAATCTCTATGGGGGTCGTTTATTATTAAAGCGTTTTAAAGCGCATGAGAAAAGTTATAAGAATTGAAATCTTTGCATTCATTAAAAAAAAACTAAACTAAATAAACAACAAAAACAATCTAATGAACATTTTAATTCAATAACTCTAAAAATGTCAAGTGGTGTAACCACATATTGTCTGTGTAGATTATTTTTTGTCTTTCGCGTTTTTCGCATACATACGACAATTTGGTCATGAAAGTGACTAAAAACGCTGTATTATTCACGCCAGGCCAGTAGTTGGCGATGTCACTTTGTAAAGAGAAAAACGCGCATTTAGACTGAACACGTAATACACATGCGCATGACGTCACCGTTTGCACAAATTTACGTTTTGGTAGTTTACACGGAAACGATAAAGGTATTGTTTTCAAAATCTTGCATTTTGAAACCCCGCTTTCAAAATTTTGTGTTTTCAGGCCCCCAAAACGCTTTTGTCGGTTTCCATTTTCTCCGTAAAGTTTTCCATTTTTAGTTGAAAACGGTGTCGTGTAAACAGCCCCACAGTTTGTCGGTCATTGTGTATAATATACAAAGCTGTTACATTACCTTGTGGATTATTGTGACATCTTGGTTTACCTTCTTTGTTTTGTAAATAAACCTGCTCCATCTCATTGTTTATAAGTTAATTTAAAAAAATTACACCTTATATATACATGGTATATATCATTATTTGAGGTTATAACTTGTCAAAATTATTGTGAAGTGAAAAAAGATCCTATATGTACTTCAGTGATTTGGCAGATAAAAGTGTTTCCAAATATTAATACTTAGGAGATAAAAGTTTTTGCAAATATTAATACCTTTTTTTCTTAAATAAAAAAATAATAATCATCATGGTAAAACATTTTACAATAATTTCAGTCATTCACTGGTTACACCACCCTGACATGTTTTATTTTAATATTCACCAAGAAAAAAATAGAACTTGAACACTTTTATCGTAATAGTTCAGTATTCTGCTCATTTTCTGTATGAATTGCATCAATATACTTTGGATTAACTTAAAGGGATAGTTCCTCCAAAAATTTAAATGGTCATCATTTACACAACTGTGCTTGTTGATGTGCGAAAACCAGTGAGGTTTGTTCTAATCAAGAAAATGTGATTGAGCATCCATGTTTACCATATTTGATGAATGTATGTGCATTGATCAAAGTTTATTTGTGAATAAAACCCTACAATATGTTTATCATATAAAGCGATCGTGTCTCTTCAGAAGAAGAAGAAGAAACTGCTCGATTCACATGAATATTTTTTTTGCAATGCCTCTATGTACTATGGTTGTGTGAGACAAAAATCATGAGACTATTTAAAATATCTTCATCTGTATACTGAAGATAACAGTTTTATGAGTTTGTAACGGCATGAGGGTAAGTAAATGATGACAGAATTTCTGGATGAACAATCCCTTTAATTCCAGAAGAAGAAGAAAAGGACCGCCACATCTTTGACCCATATGTAATTTAACTTTGTATAAATATATACAGATGAACATACATACATGTATGCATATTCTTCAAGTTATATAATCATCATGTGTCAATATTTTTGAATCTTCACTGTATAAACTCATCTTCAATCCACTTCTGACCACAGAAACCAAATATAGGCACCTTTAAGAATTCCTTAGCACTGACCCTTAATCAGACAAGCCCGTGTTTGTCCATGATAAATGATGGATCCGCGAGCAAGCTGCAGTTGTCTTTATTTGACTGTTTGATGAAGGTAGATATGGCCTCATTTGATATTGTAAAAAATATAAGTCAATAAAATGGTGTGATTGTGCAAGAAAAGCAAGGAGCAGCTTTTTGCTGAAATTTCAACTTTAAAAAGAGTCTTTGTTCCATCTGAGAACAGCAGCAGTCTTTAGGGAGAATGTAGTGAGTGTAGACAAAGGCCATTTAAGGCCATTTTCTTTCTTTTGTAGGTTATAAAGGCGCAGCTCCTGAAACTGCCTGAAAGGGGAAAGACTGAAATTTTCAAACTGCCAAGATTGTTTCACGAATAACTCGTATTTCACATTATGAATAAAACTGGACGAAAGCAGGATCACACATTTGCCTCTTTAACTCACATCACTTTAAAAACTTTTTTCCCCAGCCTGATCCATTCAAAGCACATGCTCCTTCTAGAGTAAAAAGAAGCCCAGATGGCTCTTTTCAAAATAAAAGTGGAACTTCCAGTCCTTCTGTTACCATATTCAGTGTTGCAATTTCTTCCATTTATTTTCTACTAGTTGTCCATCTCCTCCCCCTTTTTACGGTCTCTTCTATTGGTGTAGTAAGTGTGTTTTGGCACTGTTGTTCTCTGGGAACTTGTATTGGTCAGTCATTGCCTTGTCGTTTCAAAAGAAAAAAGAAAAGTTCAAATTTGCTGCTTTTCAGAGTCCATAAAAGTTATTTTTAATATCACGTAGGTGTCCCCACGTCACTGGCCACGACATGTCTGGTAGACGTTTCATGCTAATAGATCGCTCCATGCTTAATGTTGTGTTAACCGTCAGGAGCTTTTCGCAGCCATCGGTAAAACTGCTGCTGGAACAGGATGTGCCATTTTACATTAGCTTGAACGATCTCAACGGCTCGAGCGAACGCAGGTGCCGACTCTCCCCCGCTGGTCAGGATGAACTCTTTCAGCTGAGGAGAAGATAAAACATTTTCATTAACATGATAATCGTATTGTGTCTGATGGATCAGAAATAGAGATTTTGTGTGTAGAGTTCATCTCTGATCATTAAACAGCGTCAGAATATACGACGCATTTACATGCAAATGCCTGACATGTAATTTAGCAGATAACAGTGATGTTTATGATAATGAGGAGTGGGAATGGATTTGAAGTAAACAGAATTATCTGTGTTGTTTTTGTGAAAGAGAAACATGGGTGTCTGTCAAAAAAAAGCCTCTACTATCAATTACAAACATGAAAATCTCATTAAAAATCTCCATTTACCAAATAACACGTTACGAAAACGATTCCCAGTTCCTGAGGTCATGAGATCGACATGAACGAACATGCGCTGGGATTCAAAATTTAAGCTGCTACTTTGGTCTTGAATTATTTCAAAATTGCTGTTCGTTGAAAAAGAAATAAAACAATCAATTGAAACCTACAGAGTTGAAAGTATCACTGATCTAACGGTGAATCTGTGGATGAAGTGCTCTGGCAGCGGCTGATTGTCAATGACAGTATGCTAATGCTCTGTTGAAGAAAACACTGAGGGGGTTCGTATTATCGCTGTATGAATGATAAATTGTGGAAGGCGAAGTCAGCTGGATGAGAAAGTGCTGCGCTGCAGTGAGAAGCATCAGCAGTCTGTGTCCTCTGGGATTGAAGCTGAATGAATTTGAATAAGTGAATATACGTTCCATTTCCTGTAATATGGTTAAGCAGTTACAATGAGGAAATAACCCAACGAAACAGACCAGAGCACATTTCTGCAGGCTTGAAAGTTTACTTTTATTTATTTTCTCCATCTCAAGAATTTTGCTGACCAACGTTTTCTGTAAGTATTAATGTTCCATGAAGATTGGTCAATAGTTCATTAGTGCTTTAGATTGAATGGAGGTGTATACGCCTCTGGTTGGTGTATAAGTCCAGACTCACCTCATTCAACTCGGCCTCAGTGTTGAGAAACTCCGTCACGCCGCTGATTAATTTTGAGTTCATAAATAAAGCTTCTCCATACCTGCGGATGAGAGACATGGAGTTCAAGCTCTGTCATTAAAAACATTCGAGCACCATTTCAATGAGCTCAGTAGCAAACAAACACCAATAAATATTTCCCATAATGCACTCTGGTCCTCCAACCACAAAGAAATAACATTCACTAGTGCGAATGTGAAATTCATTTCAGGGACTGAGAGGAAGGTTAAAGTTACTGATAAAAAGAGAAGCTACATTCACCTGGAATTCAATATGTCCCACTTCTCACGGAAATATCTCCATGCTAAATGTCTTCCTAGCGGATTGCGGCCAACATGTATGATGACATCGATCACGTCCTGATCCGGCACCAGGTCAGAGGTGAGGGACAGATTCAGGAGCCTGTGGACAACACAATAAATAAGAGTTTCCTTAGTTAGTTATCATATTTGTGATATCTTGACTAATTGTGCTATTTGTAATCCATTTTACTATCCTTTCTATGCTAGTTTTAAGCTCGGGTAAATCTGAGATGCAAAACACATTATTCTTCCTCGTTTTCATTAAAGACAGCCACTGACAGGCCTGGCGAAACACAATTATTCAAATATGTTCACGATACTGTGAGTCAGCATCTTCAAAAAGTAATTAACCTGAGAAGTCCAAATCAAACGCAGACAGACCCATTCGACTCAAATTGGTGCGAAATGTCAAGTAAATGAAAAAGGAAGAAATATGAAATGAGGTGTTACACATAAAGACGCTTCCACGGTGCACAAGTTTTCAATTTGCAATAACAAATGGGGTAATTGCTTCATCTGGTTTGGTCTCTTATTTCAGTTCAACTGCTCTTTTGGGATTTTGACTTTCTTTCGTCGTCGAGTCATTTGTGGCACCTTTTCACAAACACCCTGGAGATTATTGCCACGGCGACAAACACATCTGTGTGCGGACGGCAGCTTCACAGCTCGCAAACGTGACATCCTGCTTCCTCTGTGGACAAGTGTGAACGCTTTCAGAAGAGTTTCTTTTGCTGTGCTAATTCTACAATAACTTTTTTATGTTCAGATCAGCATGTTTATTCTAGCATACTATTGTCTTGAGTATACAGTATGTACATAGCCTGGATGCCAGCCCGAACCCCGCCCACGACATTTTTTGGTCGGGAAGTTCGGTCTGGACTCGATCCATTGAGGAGTAATTGTGATCAGTTCAGAAATCGTCAGGCCAATCAAATTGCCAGGGCGGGCTTTACACGATGATGGACAGATGATCTGCAGTTACGTAATCATCACGTTATCAAAGAGCGCTTGGGTTGAACTGGTTTCCCTCAAAGATGACTGCAGCTGGAGAACTGAGATGTATAGATTCCGCTATCGAGTCTGTTGTAAAAGAAATCGACAGCGCATTCATTTTAAAGGACGAACAGAGAACTGCAATCATTTGTCGATCGGAAAGATGTGTTTGCCGTCCTTCCTACGGGATTCGGCAAAAGTTTAATTTATCAGCTGGCTTCGATGGTCGCTAAGAAGATGGGACGCAATGAAAACCCTGTGGTCGTTGTGGTTTCTCCTTTGGTCGCACCGTCGCACTCATGGAGGACCAAGTAAAAGAAGCAACACTCATTATTGTACTACTTCTTCCAGCGCGTGTGCAGTTGAGTTATGTTGACAACTATGCGTAGCTCAACATACGTCACTTACTGCGTTGCTCTGATTGGTTGTAGGTCTATCCAATTGAGTGCAGAGTTTTGTTTTTTTCCTGGTTCGGTTAAGACATGCCTCATAATCAAAGCCCTATGGAGCAGTATCAGACTCACATTCTGACTAGAATATGAGTATGACGAAGTCAGGCTATAATAATTGCATATTATTTGTATTTAGTCAGGCTAGTATGTACACTGTGCACAGAATGTACATTTTCTATATGCGAAGGATACCTACATTTACCGAAATACAGTATACAACCAGAGCACAATATGTGTAATACTGTATCCCACAATACAATGCGCTTGAACTGACCATCCATTCCCAGTGTTTATACATCTTTGTTGATCCTGGAACAACATTCCAATCAACCAATCAGATTTGAGCGACAAGTTTACAGTTTATGTCAAGTTCAGGCTTACAACCAGGGTTAGGTGCTTCTACATCAGTGTTATTCACCTGTCAGTTCCCTCTGATTTTAGGGATAAGTTATGCGTAGGGTTAGGTTTAGGGGTGAGGATATGGTCAGGATTTCATTTTCAAACAGGAATGTTGTTCCAGGATCAACTGAATATGTTTACCCAGGAACGCGCATAACTCTGCAAAAACTGGACGTGCCATAATTGAGAATATTTTACATTATTTAAAAAACAATAGTATACAGTATTCAGTTAGCAGTACGCTAGGTTGTTTTTATTCTGTCTCTAAGGCTGCACAACATCTCTAGCTTAGCAGTCAGAGCAGAGGTGAGATCAGTAAACACACACACACACACACACACACACAAATTCCAGTAGCGGAGAGACATTTTATTCAGCCAACTAGATCACAACACACGTCATCCAAAAAAAAAAAAAAAAAATGGAGGAGAGGGATAAAATTGACTTCATGCCATAGAAATCAATACTAAACACAGAGTCCATACACCCCATCCTTCAGACTCAGTGATTGAAGCACGTTTACTAGCTCACTCCAAACACAGGCCAGTTTTCTCTGCGGTAGATTAAATATCACAAACACACACACTCTCACACACTCATCTGGGACGGGGGGCTTTGCTTGTGCATGCTGTGTGAAATTTAAGTGCATCTAAAATCAGTGAACTGCTGCTAGAGATCCTGTCTTTTATGTCCAACACTAGAGCAAAGGTGGACGTCTGAATGCTGCAGTAGTCATGACATATTTTATCTTGACTGTTCCAAGCTGGTGGAATGACCACCCTATCTCAACCCGAGCTGCTGAGTCTTTAGCCATCTTCAAGAATCTACTAAAGATGCATCTCTTTTGCCAACAATTGACTCAATAATACTTACTATTCTATATCTATTATATAAAAAAATCAATGCTATGGCTGCTGCGCTGGTCTAGTGGAAACTGGTCACGACATTTACATATTGTTGATTTGACTGTTTCCATTGCTCGCCTCAATTGTAAGTCGCTTTGGATAAAAGCGTCTGCTAAATGATTAAATGTAAACGTAAATATTTCAGCCCTGAGGGGCTCTGAATGAAACGATGCCACCAGCATCACTTAAAAAGAAGACAGGTTCATGACAGATTGTGTAGTTTTATACTTAAATGGCTTTTTAAAGGAGAATCACCATTAACTGAGTGAGTTAGACTTAAACTTTTTAATCAGGGTTTAAGGAATCACTCCTTTGAGACTTCATTTGAGGGAAGTACTCAGACATTTGCACATTTGAATCATGATAGTGCTGTTGAGAAACGTCTGATCTTTCCAAAGTCACACTGTTCAGGTAGCCAGGGCTGCGTTCAGCCCTGACAAAACGTTGCACAACGTTTTTTAAACAGAAACGGTGATGCGTTAAACACACTGTTCTGATGACGCAAGAGTTGCAACTATGGCAGCTGAGAAGGCCATTCTTTGTGTTCTTTGTGAAGAATTTTCAGAGCCTGATGAAGTCGGTATAAATATGTGTTTATACTACAAAATATGCCCGATGTTACAGTTACTGCACTTGCCGCCCAGAACACAAGAGAACATCCCAATCGAGTGAAGGGATTTGTGGAAACTGAAATGGAAGCACACATCGTACCTAATTCAGACTAAAACACATCTATAGCCCCACATACTGACTTTATTTGTAGTTCATACTGTTTTAATACCCTGTATTTTCTTTCTCATTTTTAGGAAAAGCACTTAATTACCATTGTTTATTTCTATACCAAATGTCATACACTTGCAATAAAGCCAAAAATATAAACAACTACATCATTATGTTGATATCCTATATTTTTACAATAAAACTTACGACAAACAGTTGTTGCGTATACCGAGCTGCATTGTAATACTTTTCTTGAACCCATTGTGCGAGTTCACTTTAATACCGCGTGCTTTACATGTTGCTGCTGATTGGACTGCAGTTCTGACACACCCACCAAACAAGAGAAAACGTATCTCAAACCCCGTTGCACACATGAAACATGACGTTCAACCCGGAAACCGTAGCAAAACGTTGCGCACCGTTTTGAACTTGAACGTGCCCCGGGTATAAAGTCATGGATATTCAGACACAAATCCAATTGGGCATATTAGGGGAGTGGTTACATGTTAATTTATACACACTAAGAGATAATTATGGGGGTTTCAATAACATGCAACAGATGTGGTACATTGACATAAGTTTATAAAATGGAAGGTTTTTGAAGCTTCCTTATTGGACTTCATTTACTTATGAAGTTTAATACATAATTAGATATTCATTATGTGGCACTGGAAGAAAAAAATAAGAAGTGTAGAGCTCCAGATATCAACAGTTAAAAATTCAGTTACAGGTTCTTCACACATCATGCTTACACCATGCATTGTAGCAATAGGTGCCAGTTTCTAATTAACATGTGAGTGTTGCTAGTGGCTGTTTTTTTGTCTGGCACTGTCTGGCACTTTCAACACCATCACATCACTAATGCTGCCATCATTGTTGTGCGGTGGGCAAAAAGGTTCCTTGGCATTTCTATGCACATTTCTCAAAAAAGTTAAGCTATAGTCTACTCTTCCAACATATGTTTTAGAAGATGGTTAGCCACATTAACCAGATCCAAACTAACAGCTAAGATGGTTTGGCAGCTCTAACCAGGTTGACCTTTGCCTCACTGACTGCTAGTCCAGCTGATCAACCACCTAAACAAGGTTGAACTAGCTAATGGCCATAATGTATCTGTTTGAGTCATCTAGAAAAAAAGGTGCTTTTGAAAAAAAAGGTGATTTTGCCAGTTAGGATGTGTTCCTGGGTCTTGGAACAGGATTTACAATAAAAAAAAAACAGTCCTAACCAAATTTAACCCTTACCAATAACCATTGTTGGTGTCAAGCCAACCTAATGTAAGCCAGGAACAAGAGCAGAGGATGGTCACATGCTCCTGAGTCCATGAAAAGACCATATTTTTATTGGTCCAAATCCAAGACCACACATTGATTCAGGAACATGTAGACTCAGTCTTGACTCAGAGCTCTTCTGGTCTCAGTCTTGACTCAAACTCGACACTCTTCCGATCTTGGGCTTGACTCGAACTTCAATGAGCTGGTCTCGACTACAACACTGCCAATAACTACCACTAAATCAGAAGGAAGTGAGCATTATATTTAAAGCTTCAATGTCAACCCTAAGTACTCAGGAGGTGAACAATGAAACAGAAACCTGGTTTTAGACCACAACAATTTGTTAATTTGGTGTAGAGCCTCCTGTTGTGGCCAATACAGCATAAATTCATCTTGAGAATGACAGATACAAGTGAAGTGGTAAGAGGGATTTTGAGCTATTCTTCTTGCAGAACAGTGGCCAGTTCAATATGTGATACTGGTGGATAAGTTTCCTGACTCGCTTAACCCAAAGTGGCTCAATAATATTCAGATCTGGTGACTGTGCAGGCCATGGGAGATGTTCAACTCCACGTTCATGTTCATCAGACCATTCTGTCAAAAGTCTTGCTGTGTGTATTGGTGCATCATCATGCTGATACACGGCCCCACCTTCATGGTGCAATGTTGGAAGCATTGGGTGCTATGGTTTGGTAGCCCTTGGCAGTGACACACCCATCTAGCACAAGTAGTGGGCCTAGGCAATGCCATGATATTGCAGCCCAAACCATCACTGATCCAGCCTGTGCTTTACTCTGGGCATGTAACAGTCTGGGTGTTAAGATTTTTGGGGGAATCTCTACATTTTAACTCACTCAGATGTGGAAAAGACTGTGAAGGTGGACTCATCAGAGAACAATACATGTTTCAAATTTTTTCCACCTCTGGCACCATTGAAACTAACGTTTGGCATTGTCACGGGTGACCAAAGGTTTGGATATAGCAGCCCAACCATAATACCACCACAATATTTACCCTGTAGGAACTGAGAGCGGAACGGACAGAGATGATTCATTCAAACAGATTCAAGTCAAGTGGTAAGAGGGATTTTGAGCTATTCCTCAGAACAGTTCAATATGTGATGCTGGTGGACACCAATTATCAATTTATCAACAATAAAGGACCATAAATAAAGTGGGCGCCATCCAGTCTGAGCTAACTAATGAACTCCACAGCTTTAAAACAATGAACATTTGTAGGATTATGTTCCTAACTCACTGAAGATGTCAAGTAACAAGACAGATTAGTTTGGAGATGGCACATCTTGACACTCCCAAGACAGAGATGCAAAACAGACCTTCTTCTTCTTAAAGACCTCTGAGTGACCTCTTAAAAACAGGATTAAAATCCACACAAAAAAAATCCCAATTGGACTGTTTTTCCATTTAAAATGCATCAGATCATTCCAAAACAATGCTAGTCTGACTTATATTCAAACATTGTTCAACTGCATAATTCTACATCATGTCTACAACCTATATGTGACTATTATGCTTAGATCACACATAAGTGATGCAATTGTTATAACTATTGAATGGTTGATTGAAAATATGTCTTGCTTGGTATAAGCGTAAATGTCTGCTCATAACTCAAAAGATGGCATGAATGAAATCTGTGTAAAATGTATTGTATTCTTTTTATAGAAATTGTGTCTAAATTGTACTCTGCTAGAGCGGGAAAGTAAAGACGCCATGTGACTAATCAGATAATGTAATTCATGTGAGAGGAGGATAAAATGTCACACCACGAGCTAAAGATGAGGTATAATTGGTCAGAACTCTTCTGGGAGACTGGACAGACACCTCAGGTTAAAATCTCAGGACACGAACAAAGCGTCAGACAGATTTGGGAGATGAAAATGGGTTAAGAACGAACAGCTTCATGCAAGCCATCTTACTACTCTCATCTCATTTACTTTTCATTCTTTTACTTGGTTTCTTTTCTTTCCGTTTAGAGTCTTGTGTTCTAAGTTAAGTTTTGCCGCTTTGCTCAAACTTCAAACTTCTGCCATGAGAAAGACTCCATTCATCCAATCACCCGCAAACACACCAACATGATTGGCCTCCCAAGACGTCACTCCAGAAACTCCAGACCTCCAGCGAATCAACGAACCGGGGAAACTATGCAGCGAACCATGCCTTCCGGATCCCCATTCAGACACAAACAACAAACTCAAGTAATGCCTCTAGATTCTAGCTGAACTGGTGCATTGATATAAAATTTAATATGCTCTGCTAATTCCTACTTCACACTATGCTCTTGCTGATGGAATGTAATATCAGTGAAGATTGGCCGCCAGGCTACACATACAGGTATAAAAAACCTCCAACACTATATTGGCCAGTGCTTTCAGTTTCATTGTCCAACCCCTGTATCTCTAAAATCCTAAACCGAATCATGTTGGTTGAAAGGAATGTTGATCCAGAAACACATACAATACTACTTGATAAGTTACCATAAGAAGCACGTGGCCTTCAAGAGTTTGTATTGTAGGAGAATGCTGGAGGTTCCTGCAGAGGTTTTTGTATTCATGGTACAGCTGCCTGACTTTTAGATGTTGTATCTAGGTGTACTGTGTATGACACCCGAGTCATGGATCACTGAGAGCTTGTAGTACTCATTGATTTTACCTTCAAGGAATGCAATTACCACAATACAAAAAAATGAAAAGGTTCCTCGCTGACTTTAATGTGATGAATAGTATTATAACATAATGATAAAGATGCCTGGATGTAGAGCACAAAAATATGTGCTTCCTAAGTGCGGTGCTATTTATCTTTTTCCTCTAGCGAGGAAAACCACCTCTCAACCGACTCACACAGAAGATTCCCCCAGGAATCAGTCTGTTGAGTGCTGAACACTCACTGCAGAGAGGGGTCAGGGTGGGTCTCTTTATATGAGCAAGTTTCTTTCTCTCATAGCATCTATAAAACAACGACCAAATGCAACTGAATAAATGGAGATGTCAAACCCACAGTGAATCCTAAGAGAACTGCTTCAACATATGTCTGGGCTGTGAGATCCTCGTCTGGGCTGGACAGGGTGTAATCCGTCACCGTCCTCATCCAACTATTGAGTCGGGAGAGGATTTAAGGCGCCATGGAGACTTGTGGGAAAAGCTCCGACGGCAGCCATTGTTTTTACAGCCCTGTCAGAGGAGTGAGTGCAGCTCTACTGGTGTGAGCGACATGATGTGGTGGAAGGGATTGAATCGGATTACTTCATGAGGTACAGCAGACTACAAACAGAATTATAGTCAGAGGAGTGCCGTACATCCTCCAGAGACTTACAGATACTTCTTGCTATCAAAAGAATGGCAATTTGCAAGATTTATTTAAGATGCTAAACCTTCCCGCTAAGACTGGTTGAGCAATGCGTTATGCTCCAGTAACTTGTTGTTTACATTTCTTTGCCTCATCATGTTATTGTCAATGAGTCGGTAAGAGTGTTGATTGACCTGTTGAGTAGGAAGACGTTGCCACTGCAGGTCAAGGCCTCCAGAAGAACCTTCTTCTCAGAGATGGCTGTAGAGGAGTGAAACTTCATCCAGATAAACTCCCACACGTCCTCATCCATCAGAGACACGCCTGTGCAGTACACAATGTCCCGCACATTAGGTGGAATCCTGTGGGACAGAAGATTGAAATATCTGATTGAAGTCACAAGCTGAATTCATATTTATGTTTGGATATTTTGAGGTAAACATTCACAGCTAGTAAATGCTAAAGTTAGCATTTAAATACATTTAACATTTACAACTGTATTGATGGAGCCAAAAATATAGATTTACTATGTTATGTCACATAAATACAAAGACTGACTTGAGTGAAAAATGGTGATACGTTGATTATGGCCAGCAGCCATATCACCCTGTAGCCCAAGACTGGTAGCCCACTGAAGCTAAGCAGGGTTGGGCCTGGTCAGTACCTGGATGGGACACCTCCTGGAAAAACCTGGTTGTTGCTGGAGGAGGTGTTAGTGAGGCCAGCAGGGGGTGCGTGGGTCCTAACACCCCAGTATAGTGATGGGGACACTACTGTCAAAGAGCACTGTCCTTCGGATGAGACGTTAAACCGAGGCCCTGACTCTCTGTGGTCATTAAAAATCCCAGGATGTCCTTCGGAAAAAAGAGTAGGGGTTTAACCCCGGCATCCTGGCCAAATGTGCCCATTGGCCCCTGTCCATCATGGCCTCCTAATCATCCCCATACATACTGATGGGCTTCATCGATCTGTCTCCTCTCCATCAATAAGCTACTGTGTGGTGAGCAATATGGCTGCCGTCGCATCATCCAGGTGGATGCTGCACATTTGTGGTGGTTGAGCAGATCCCCCCCTTCTATGTAAAGCGCTTTGAGTACCCAGAAAAGCACTATATAAATGTAACAAATTATTATTGTATTATTATTATTAGCATATATGCACATAGCACACTGAATGCTGCAGGTGATTAGCATTCCTCACTGTGATAAAGTTTGCTCATTAAACATTTACTGAGGGTTATTTTAGATTCACACGCCATTAGATCACATCGTGTTCACACCTAATTCTTGTTTACATTTCCCTGAAGAGAGTTTTTTTTTTCACAGCAGAAGTTTCGAGAGTCCTCAGGGTTGTTCAAAGATAACAAGTCACATGTCAACGTTTCACCTCCAGAAGAGTCAATGAAAAACAGCGTGAGTGTTATTTCTTGCATGTTTTATTTGTTATGCTTATGTGAAAAGTTTAGATTTGTTTTTCTGTTTCTGTCTATTGTCTAAATGTCCGTTAATAAAACCAAGCATATTTTTTTTTAAAATGTTTTTTTGAAGTCACAATTAAAGTCATGACCCGAATCATCACTGCAGGCCTCCCAAAGTGAGTCTCAATGCAATATATTCTAGAGATATACAGGTCATGACCTCTGAATGGACTCATAATATCATCTGGTTATAAATCTCAGAAAAGAATAACAGTCTACAGTAAAAGAACACAGAGAGAAAAGTATCTCTCAGGCTGTGAGACGATGCATGTAATATTCGTACAGGAAGAAGAAATAACATTAAACCTCTGGAGGAGCTTTGGCGATACAGTGACTGAACTTTTGATTTGCTCAAACAAAGCGCAATAAAGACCTGCTGATTCTGGATGAGCCGTCGGAGCCTCTGGGAGTTTTCAATGTAGCAATGCAGAGAACGGCACATTCAGTAAGATATAAAAACGTCACATCCAATTGGAGCGTATAGACTGAAATTTCCGCACCTGTGAAGGTGATGTCTTATTTATGACTGCCACTGACAGGAAGTCTATGCGAATTCAGAAACGCAGTTAAACAATAATATTTGTGCCGTTCCGTTAGCTGCCATTATATCTGGAAAATTCATGAATTTTATAAGGTATTTTCGGAATAAAAAAGAACACAAGCCATAAATCTTGTTTTTACTTCTGATATTATAACTTGAATATAATGGTTTGACTTGCTCTAATATTTGGCTGTGTGGAGATAACACATTTATAATAAAAGGCGGTAATGAAATTCTGTGAAGAGTCTATGTCTGTGAGATGATTTTGTTTTTAAAACAATGTACAAAATGTGAGGCTTTATTATTTCAAACAAAGACTAAAATTGCGCTAAAAACAGTTTAGTCAGTCTGTGGTATCTTGTTTTTAATCAATAAAGCACATGAGGAGGTTTTGTCAGAGTTTGTCTTTGGCCAGAAGCCTTTCTTTGCAGCTCATAAACTCTGCTGGGTCATTCCTGTGACATTATCATCACCTAAACCATAAAAAAACATAAAGGTCAACACATTCCTCTTTTATGCGCTGCTTATCCCTGAATATCAAACTGAACAGATTCTTTTTATTATCCCAGCAGGACTAGAGGTCATTTTTGAAGAAAGGACAATGAAGGACACATCTGGCAGATCCAAACGTCTGCTGTCAGGTCAGATGAAAACGGCACAATTTGAAAGACAATTTAGAACAGTTAAGGCACATTCAATAAAATGCAAAAGTAGTCGAAATTATAATAGTATCAAAAGTATGCTAAAACTGATACCATAAAAACAGTTGAGAAGAAAGCCAGCAACTCTAGCAGATGCATTTCAGAAATAATTTATTTCCGTCTGTTGACTTGACAGTCGTACACGAGAAACTAAAGCATTTTAGGTGCCTTTCATGAGCTCTAACTGTCTGTCAGCAAATTAAACTAAGCTGTCCACATGATGATACGTCTATCAGGAGGGATTGTGTTCAGTACCGACTTCCTGTCAGTTCAGACACGATCAGAAACCTCACACTGGACTCCATGGGGTAATAATTACAGAGCCACTGCCAGAGCAATTGAGCCGTTTCAGGGCAAAAGAGTGGAAAATCTTTGCCTGAGCAGGTCAAACACTGGCTGAATACAACTGTGTGTGTAGTTCACATGTTGAAAGCAAGAATATAGGCAAAAACCTTTTAAGAGCAACTGCTGCTATCAGAGAAGCTCGTGTCATATTAGAGACCTCGACAAGTCATTAAAAGCACATTAAGTCAAGGTCAATATGTGACACATTATATGTGTAATAAAGCATCCGTGTGTGTATTTAAGGTCTATCTGTCAATTTTAAGGCACAATTTTGAAGCCAGCAAGCAAATATCCAATGTATTTGAGGTTGCTAATGTGTGATGAACAGTGTGTGTGGTCGTTCATGTGTTGGTAGGCGTGCGGCCAACTGTTTGGCTCAAGGACAAAAAATTGTTTTCCTAAAAACTGGGCAAACACAATATCTTGTGCATGGTGAAACCATTTCTTCAGACACACAAACACAATCCTGTTTATTCTCCATTATGGCCATTAGTGCCTGCCGGAGGGCTGGTGTGTTTGACAGTGTGATACTGCATACATGCATGTGAACATTGCTGTGGGCAGCAGGGAAAACAAATCAGACTGTGTGTTTCCATGGACACTTGATAGAGCTCCTACTGTATGGATGTTGGCAGGGCTGAACATAATAAACAATAACCAACCATTGTTTGTTTTTACAATATTTGTATGATTTTAGCAATAAAATGGCAGTAATTATAACAAATCTGCTGTGAATGCATATCATTAACGACACATGGTCATATGAAATAATAAATAATCATGATAGTTATTAAATGCTTTAATTTCTAACAATCTGTATACCGTATATTTGCATTTTAATATTGTTTTGAGTTATTGAGTGAGTTGTTAAGTTAAGTGAGTGATGAGATGTTTGAATGGTTTAGACCATGAATAAGCCCAATAACTGATTTGAAGATTGATTCTTTATACAGGAGTGAGGAGAAGAAATGTAAATTTGCTCACCTGTTCTTGTTGCTGGAAATCCAGTCTGAAATGAGAGTCACAGCTTGGCGGTGACAGTGTTTGCTTCCAAAACTGCAGGCCAGCATGATCACCTCTCTCTGCAACTCTCTGAGGAGGAAAGAGGGAAGGATACCAGCAGGGAAGAACAGCAGCAGGAAGTTAAAGATGGACGAAGGGGAAAAATGAAAAATTAATGAGGTCATTCCCATCTCTGAGGTGGAAAATGTCTGACTTAAAATGTCGGTGTCCTTACTTAGACTACATATAAGTTTATAAGTGTAATACATAATTCAATAAAGATGAAATTCAAGACTCACTCGGCCTGATAAGCCGCCTGCATGAAGGAGCCGTCAGGGGAAGTGCTTGGCCAGCCCAACTTGTGATACTTTGGTTCCACCTGTCTTAGAACATAGTCCTGACGAACAAAACAAAAAGCCAATAACAGTATGTTGTACTCATACTTGTACTTTGTAAATGTATAAATCTCACTCCCGAATACATCCAGACCATTTATGAAAACTAAGCAGCAAAAAATGGGTCATTCAGAAATGTTTAAGATTTTATGAACTAGCTTTCAGCTTTAAAACATATTAGAATATTTACATTTATAACTGTCTGGCCAAATAATTATACACCATTTGACTAACAGAAGCTGCCGAGTCCTCGTTAAAAGAGAACGAGAGAGAATGTTGATTCAAACTGAATATATTGTGTTGTTTTGTAATGTTTATACACGGTGTGCATAAGTGTGTGTGTGTGTGTGTTTTGACTCTCCATACGGTTGAGGGAAATGTAACAGCAGGTGATGTCATGGCTAATTTAGCATGACTGCTCTCCTTCATGCCCTCTTACTGAGACGAGTGAATGATCACAATTAGACCCTGCTATGCTGCAATTCAACTCTTAACACACACACACACACTTACACGGATAAAAGCACATACAGTAAACACTGGGACAGCGTTAGAGGACATTGTTTTCCATATTGTGGTGGACCGTACAGATGATCAGGTGTGTTTGTCAAGCTGTTACTACGAACATTAAGTGATGTGTTATAGTTTTGCCAACAGAGTAACCTCAGTTTGACAATTAGTGACGGAGCACGCACAAACACACACACACACACACTCACACACTGGTTTGGACTGACGTTTTAGACACCCGGTCACATGATTTGAAGGCACTTGACTAATTTGCTCCAGCTGTTTCCTGTCTTGCATTACATGCTAAACATCTGCTCTGTCTCACAGTAAACACAATAAATGAGAGTTACAGAGAGAAGACACTAATAAATTCATCACACACTCACTGCAGACACTAAAGGGTCGTCCATTACAGAGGAGGGGCAGAAATGACTCATGCGCACTGAGGGATTGTGGGTAGGCGTGTGAATGCTATTCTGAATAACAAAGTGATAAATGAATATGAAAGCGGGTGGACAAGTAAGACAGAAGCCGGAGAAACAGAGAGACTGTCTCACACTGTCATGATTGGCCGTGTTCAGAATGAAATACTAGCATACTGCACATTATACGCTGCATATTATTTATAAAAAATTTTACATGTCTCATTCTGATCAAATAACGCATCTAGAAGAAAAAGATAAAAATGACAACTGATATTGTGCAGGTTTCATTCGTCACACGGGAAATGGAAGATTGAGTCAAGCGCACTGCATTGTGGGAAACAGTATTTCACACAGTTCGCCCTCATAATATACCGTACTTGCAGAAGCTCATCTGGGAATTCCACACACATGCACACTATTGCACACTCCTCACAACATGCACACTGTTTACTGCAGAAATAGTATGATATGGTAGTACGCTATTCTGAACATATAGCCATTAAAACACAACCGATGGTGGAAATCTCTCTGTTTTTCCACATCTATGAGTTTCTAAACAGGCATTGTGCCTGAAACATCGTGGACTGTTGTGGAATAATGATCAGAGGAAGTCTTAAGTTCGATCTGTCGAGTCATCTGAGACGTGCTGCCAGATTTCAGCTGTGTCTTTCTTATTGCACTATAAGGTTAAAATCCAACAGACACCAAACGTATGTGAGATCAGACTCACGCTGAACAGGCTGTGGTCTTCAGTGCGGTCCAGGAGTTTGTCCAGCTGGTAAAGAGCTCGACTAGCAGCGTGCCAGGGCAGAAACTCGCTCTCCTGAGACAAATATGAGATCATCTGCAAGGGGACGTTTTGGGGCAAATACCCCGCTCTAGAGAGAAGAAAGAGAGTAGGAGGATAAGACACTAGCAGCACATTTGAAGCATATTTCCCCTTTGGTAGACACATCGTTAACATTTGATTACAAACAGTTCATTTTGTTCATCATCATTCGTTTAGAATACCTGCCAGGCATTGTGCTTCTGCGTGGGGAGTCGTAGTGTGCTGTAAGAAACAAAAAAACTGCTTCTCCTGTACGGCTACAGTCGTGTTTAATTTGCATAAATCCATAAAACATAAGATCTCTTCTAAAAACACAGACACGAGCATTAACAGCACATATCCACTGTCATTTAGAAGAGCACATCAAATCCCAGATGTATTTCAGCAGGACCTTGGGCTCTTGTCAAATGAGACTGTGTTTCTAGGCCACACATCGGTGCTTCACCATTTATTTTTGTTTCACGTTATCTGCCGACTTTCCCTTCAATCTTTTTAGAAACTCCCACAACTTACCCATGAGAGCGGAAACAAAGAAAAGTGGCCGATATCCTTAGAGCAAAGACTTCACAAATCTGAAAATGCTTCGGTTTCAAGGCTCAGAAACCAAAACGCTTTAGCAACCATGAATGTTTTGGAAACCCAAGCATCGCAGCAAGGAGTTTTACACAAGCGAGCACCTCGCAAAAAAAGTAGAATCTAGTTGAGATCATATTTATGTCCCTGCTTAAAGCCCTTACTCTGACTCATGGCGGAAATTAATCTTCATTTCTCATAATTTCATGCAGGGCACATAAGCGCTCCGAATCAGAGGTCAGGCGAAAAGGAAGTGATCAGACTTGGAAACGGACTCATTAAATTCCAGAGGACAGATTCACCCAACACACATTTAATTGGGACATTAATCACAGTTACTCACAGACACCCACTGTTAACCAAAGAGGTTTTTAACATTTCCAGACAAACTGATTTGCAATAACATAAGCAGGAGACAATTGAGGATGTGAAGAATTAGAAACTATTTCAATATCTCCATGGCGAAGTAGCAAATGAAGTTAGGATATCAAGAAAAAGGTCACTTAATCCTGTTTAACTGCATGCGAAGAATTTTAGCTCAAAGTGTTTGAAGGGGTTTGTGACTAATTTAGATCAGGAATCTTCTTCTTCCCTGGAACAGTCTGTTATATATTACAGAAGGAAAGGGAGTCATCAAAAATGTAGATTAGTGTAATATCTCTGCTCAGTGATATTCAAAAACATCCAAAATATTCATAAAACGAGCTAAATCTAAAATGTTAAAGTCAGGAATAATTGCCATTCAGTGCGAACCCAAAGCTGAGTAGCTGTTAACCTCGGGCATGAATTAATTTGTAATTATTAAACAGTTATGAGTAACAAAATGTAGTTTTTACCGCGATTAACATAATGTGCTTATCTCAAAACATTTTCAAGTTTTGATGTGTAGAATGACTTCCATGCACCTTTGATTGTATCCAAGCTGTCGTTAACCAGTATTAAGTATTAAACTGTGGTCTAATGAGCAATGATTGTATTAAAATAAACAATTAATCAGTCTATAATGATGCCAAGGCACTTGAAACACTAGTCGGCTGTCTGTTATTCTTTCACACTGATTACATGGAAATATTCAATGTATATTGTCAGGATTGATGTGCACACAAGACATGAAGGATGTGGTTTTGACACTTTTCAGTCTTTACATTAATTACATTGTATGTGCATTCATTATTTTGTGTTTCCAAATTTAGCTTCGGTGCTAAAAGACATGTAGAACATAAATGCGATGATTTCATTAGCAGTGATGGGATATCATCAGTGATTATAAATAACGCCGTTACTAACGGCATTACTTTTTCCAGTAACGTGTAATCTAATTGATTACTCTTCTCATCTTAATAACGCCGTTACCGTTACTGCCAAAAAATGCGGCGCGTTACTATAACTGATGAAGCTGTTTTTTGTTTTTTTCATCAGACCAACTAGATCTCTGCGCGAGAGGCAAATACTGGGCCTTTCTCAATCTGTGTTCTTGTCTGTACTTGTGTCCTTGTGTTCTTGTGAAACGTCATCTTTTGTGGCCCAAGTACTGTCCCAATACACAAGTTTGCATTTTGGCAAGAACAGTTAAAAATCCCGGATGTGTTCTTGACACGCCCATTTTACCAAGGATGCATCGGTTGGTAACTTGTGTTGACTTGACGGCAGAAATATCCCAGCATTCAATTCGGCATTCGAGGAAGGAGAGGCAGGTCAATACAGTATTTCGTTTTTCTACAATTACGTACACTATTTCATCACTAAATTCACTTCTGAGAACATTTGATGCGAGAAATCAACTGTGTAGATTTCAAATATTGGCATTTTTACGAAAATGTATGGCTAATCGAAAATGTGCTCAAACGTTTTCGGAAGTGAGAATCTCCATAAGCGCCTGCGGGTGTAACGTTAGCTATCGAGCCAACCGGCCAGTTTGCTCACAGACTCGTTTTTCCCCACAGCCAAGAGACCATTGCAGCCTGGCTGTTATCGTCAATAATTCTCGTTATGTTTGGGTACTGCAGACGGTGTCTGTGCGGGGGTATTATTGCGCAATACCAGCAAGAACACATCGTCTCAAACTGTCAGCAGCGTTCTGTGTGCTCGTTAGCTTGTGAGTTCATTCTTCCAAGAACAACTAGCAAGAGCGTTCTCCCCAAGAACACAAGTCCGTTCTTTGCATTCTTGGTTTTGAGAAACACCCACTTTTTTTTACTGTTCTTCCTTGGTTAGTGGGCAGAGCACGAGACAAGCGCATAAATGCTGACGATTGGCTGAGGTAGAGTAAAATGTCATTGTAAGCCAATCAGAGGTAGAGTTGGGCGGGTGTTCGAAAGCACGCATAGTAGTGATGGGCATTCGGCTCTTTTGACTCAGCTCACTGAAAAGAGCCGGCTCTTTTGGCTCACAAACGGCTCTTTAAATGACTTTGACTATAATATTTCAATTTTTATTACATAATTATTTAATTTCTATAGGCTAAATTTGTAAAAATAGAGTCGGCTCTTCAGATATGCGAGCCAGCTCCCGACGTTCACCTAAAAGAGCCGGCTCTTAGAGTAACTAACTCTTAGAATCGCGAACGACCCATCAAAAGCTCATTCGCGAACGAGTCGATCCATCATCACTAACGCTCATTCGCGAATGACCCATCATCACTAACAGCTAACGCTCATGAATTGCGAACGACCCATCATAACGCATAGTCGGACAGGACAGGACACACAATGAACAACACAAGCCAGTCAGTCAACGAGAGACAGGTATGGCGACGAGCTTAACAAGCTTAATTTAATTTTGCCCAGTTGTGGCCTGTTGAGGGGCAATAAATATCAAAAGTTCCAAAACATCTATTGTGTTATTTGCATTGATCCACTATATAAACATAATATCTACATACATGGCATTTGATTGGAGGCTAGTCTCACTTTGTCCCACAGCAACATTTTTTTTTTTTTAGATGTGTGTACAATGTTTCATGTTTCTGTTAATAATGTATTGTATTAAGTGTCCATTTTATTATAATATTCAGATTTATCATAAATAATTGAACCTGCACATGTATTGTAAGTTCCGTTAAAGAGGGGTAGAGGTGGGGTCACATTTGAGCATTTAAAATTTAATTTTACTTGAAAGTAACGCAATAGTTACTTTTTTAAGTAACTAGTTACTTTTAAAATTTGTAACTGAGTATCTAATTTAGTTACTTTTTGGCAGAAGTAACTAGTAACTGTAACTAATTACTTTTTAAAAGTAACTTGCCCAACACTGTTCATTAGCATACGATGACCAAATCACACACACACACATATATATATATATATATATATAGAGAGAGAGAGAGAGAGAGAGAGAGAGAGAGAGAGAGAGAGAGAGAGATGATTTCATTAGTAAACGATGACCAAATCACACCTAATATATATATATATATATATATAGAGAGAGAGAGAGAGAGAGACAGAGAGAGAGAGAGAGAGAGAGAGAGAGAGAGAGAGAGAGAGAGAGAGAGAGAGAGAGAGAGAGAGAGAGAGAGAGAGAGAGAGAGAGAGAGAGAATATTAAAGCATTCAAATAGAAACATAATATTAAAGTATGTATAAAATATTAAAGTATATTAAGTGTGGTTCTTCTTCAGAGGGAAATAAGGAATTTAAGAACATTGCTTTACAATGCTGTCATTTATATGGCATATATAGACACTTCCATTATTACCAAATTCTAACAGCATGCAACTGGAATAAGGCCATTTAGTTGATCCTTTCCATAAAAATATCCTTTTGCTTTTTATTTTTGAATTATTCATGGGAAATATTCATTAAAAATAAAAGAACACCACATGACCATAAAAATATCATGAGACACTGACGGTTTCCCTATACTGTTCGCAAGCACAGTAATGAATGAGCTGAACACTCTCATGCTTTTTTAAAAAGTGAAAACACACATGCACGAACGCACGCACACACCACACACACGTCACTGACATTGAAATAACCCGTGAGTAACATAACACTCTCCTAAATAAATCATTGCCTTTTAAATTGGCCTGTAATTGTAGCTGATTTAGATGACGCTTGAGCAGAGCATTTCGAGCAGGCCTATTAAGAAGCTCCATCACTGAGAGAAAATATTGTGCAAAGGAAAAGTAACCAAAATATTCTCCTAGCACTGTTGGTTAATTCTTTCTGGCAGTTGTGTGATATGTGTTGTATGACAGAATTGTCGACAGGTGTTGTGATGTTTCATGAGCGTCGCAAACAAAACAACCTTCTGTCTTTACTGCAACAACCTGCTGATGCCAATGTCGGGTTAGGAACAGATCAGCGTTTTTATGGAGGTTCAAAACGCTGTGTCAAGACAAGTAGCTGGTGATCACAGTAATGACTGTTAACAACAACTGTTAAATGCTTAAAAATCTAGATGAAAAGAACAATTTTTTGCAGTCTGACACTGTTATCATGATTCTTAAGCACATATTATTATAGTGTCATGCATTTCCTGTTTGTGTTCCTTGTGCTTTTATTTTGTAGTCTTTCAGTTTGTAGTTTGCCTTGTTTAGTTCCTGTTCTAGTTTTCCCTTGTAAGTCTCTGCTCAATGTTAGTCTGATTTTCCCTGTAAATAAGCCATGCACTGCGTACAAACCCGAATACTTCCCTATATGTGAAAAATTGTATGCCAAAAGCGTATAGTATGTCTGAATTCAATCTGAATATAATATTATATTATGTGATTATAGGCTGAAATATGACTGAAATATGAAATAAGACTGTTCAATCAAAAACATCTGTTGCTCCAGAGAATATTTAAATAACTCTGTGCTTTAAAGATACTTTAATGGAAGATGCAAACGCTATGCAATTAAACCAATTATTATATTCATCCATTAATAATACATATTAAATATGATCTTCAGTATCCAACTAGGCTTCACTAACACTAGCTTTCTTCTTCTCAATTGATCCAGCAATTCATAATCACAATAAAGTCTTTGTGAGTCAGTATTGATCTGTGTGAATGACTCCCATGAGCACCAGGGGCATTTAATTAGGTAACATCCCTCGAGGCATTCAGTTTCCTCAATCATATGAACACTCTTTATCATCCCAGTAATTTACAGAGAAATGAGACATTTTACACACTGTGATTAACGATGATGCTGTTTTTAATATGCAGGTTGGCATTTTCGCTTCTCGAGATCGTAAGAGCCAATAACCACCTCCACAGATTGCTACTCGTTTTTATTAAGAGTAGCTGAAAACTAAAGCAGAGACAAAAAATCATGTAAAGCCTGAAATCAGGAACAAAATGGTTTGCCTTCAGTCCTGTTAACTTTCAATTATCAAGCTCTTCAGTAAACAAGGCCGAGGCGAATAAACAGGCTAAATGAACATGACGTACTACAACACAGGAGGAACAAGTTTCCTTTCTCGGCTCAATGTGCCGGCAATAAACACAAGTGTCCCTGTGGGTTTGTCGTCAGTCGACTGAACTCTCGTGGTTAGGAAACATCTTTGGTCAAAAGCACAACTCTCCACATGCCTGTTAAAGCCCCGTCTATCTCAACATGAGCCGCACAGCGCCGGCACACGAGCCTGTCGTTTCAGTTTGAAGAACAGCGTTGCTAATGCTAGCAGAGCATCTGGCAGCTTCCTCATTTAGTTTGGTGGAAGAATAAAAATGACTGTCCAAAGTGAATGAATTTTAAAAAAGCAGCACCTAAATTCAATGTCTAAAAGTCCACCAGTGAAACTCAAACAGGGATTTGGCTTGAGAAATGAATCAGTTGGTTTGTAGCATCAAGAGTAGCTGCCAGTGACTGAATATGTCCTTCATTAAGGAGAATGAGCGAGTCTTTGAATCAAACAGAGAGGACCTTAGGGAGAGCAGTCGTTGCTGAAAGGACTAATGGCAGCTTGCAGCCTGTGGCACAATAAAGTCTCTTCTCTACCTCTACCGTTCTGTCTTTCCTCCTCTCACATGTGAGTTTCCAGCTAATGATGAAGCTCTGAAGGATCGACACAATGAGACCGCAGTGGAAACAGAGGTTTTCCCTCACTTTCTTATTATCCGCTATCGCAGTAACGGCTCAGTGGTCTCACCGCAGGTCTCATCTTGATGAGCTAAAGGCTTTTTCTTCACTAACGCCTTCGGGCTCAAATCAAGATCAAATATCTATCTCAAATGCCAATAAACAGAAAGTATGCATCTGCTGCTGATTGGCTAATTATCTGGGACTGATTCTGTCACGATTCTGCCATCATGTCCTTGTATTCTTCTAGTATTGTGGCAGGATCATGACAGACCCATGTTTTATGTACAAGCGCATGGTCTGTTGTTTGGGCCATGTGCTTGTGTTGTCTCGTCTTGTAACCCCGCCCCCTTGTTATCCTTGTTTAGTCATGATTGCCTTGTTAGCGTCACCTGTTCCCCTCGTTAGTTTCTTGGTATTTAATCCCCTTGTGTTTGCTGTCTTTTGTCTGTTCATTGCCTAATTTATGCTGAATTGGTCTGTGTTGCTATACCTTGCCATTTCTTACCCGTGAGTACCTAGTGTAGAGTCTTGTCTTTGTGAACGTTTATTTGAAGAATTGTCTAGTCTAGTCTGCCATCCATTCCTTGTCCTAGTGGTGTTTTGCCCCCTCGTGGATTTTGTTTTCCTGTTTTTTTCCAATAAACCCCCTGTTCGTTGCACTCTGTCTGTTTTGGGTTCATCTCCTTTCATCCACGTAACAGATTCCACTACAACTGCATATAAAATGGAGATTTAGCATAATACTGATTCCTTGTGTCTGGTGATGCAATTTTAATGAGCTTGGAAAGTGTTATGGATGGATAACAGATGATGTGAAATGAATGCTTTATGTATATATAAACTATCTAGATGGTCCTTTTGTATCATCCAAAAAAAATGTCTCGGCTAACCTAATCAACCGAGATGGGTGTTAAAACCAGGAATGAACAAGTCTTGCAACACTTTCATACAGATCTGTCAGTCGTGATGTAATCTTTTGAAATCCCAGGAAGATGAAGATCCATTTGCACTGATTTGCTCTTCTGTAACTTTAGGTAAAAGCCACCCTGTCTGTTCTTTGATGCCTATGATGCATTAAAACGAAGCTCATTTTGGTAAAATCGGGTTTTAGAAATTCCCAGTGTCATCCAAAAATGAGGCGTATTATTATTAAAAGTGCCCATAATGAAAAAGATGTAGGTCTAGTTTTGCAAAAGCGGGGGGAAATTAATCATTTTAAACAATAATTATTGAGCTTTCATGAAATAACAATGTATGGTACATTTAGTTAGTACAATTTATTTATATTTAGGGTTTAATTAACAAATTTTCACCATAGTGAGGTTCATAGAGATCTTGATATTTTTTGTGCTAAAAATCTAGACTTGGGCTCAATAGGCTTTTATACTCAAATGCCTGGTTTTGCAGACAGGGCTAACATTAAGCCAGGATTAAACCTTAAACATTGCTGGTGTGCATCTTGAGACAAAACAATGACACCAATACATTTTAAGATATGCCAGTGCAAGTTGCTTTCAGTTAAAACAGCTCAAACATGCATTTTAATCTGGGACTAGATTTAAGCCTTGTCTGTGAAACCGAGGGCAAGAGTTTTCCTCACCACTGTCACTTTGTGCTCTCTCACCGGTAGGTGAACGACCTCCTGAAATAATGTGACAGTTACTGAGAGAATAAAAAGCAGGACACAATAAGCCTGAATAGTCTAGGGGTTTCTGCAGGGGTGTGAAGGCTGTTAGATGGATCTCTAGTGCAGGTCTCAGACTCTCTGAATGATTCTGCATGTAACAAACTGAACCCACCTCGCCAGGTTGAAGACATCGTCGATCAGACCGGCCCTGTTGCCCACCGAGATGATCTGCCGCAGGAGAGAACAGCACAGACATTTACAATACAGCAGGAAGTGATGAGGAGAATGAGGAAACAGAAGGGGGGCAAGAAACACTTTGGATAAAACGGGAGGAGTCACAAAGACTGACAGTTGTGGAAGAAAGGAATACCTTTGGGTTGCTCATCAGCTGTTGAATGAGAAGTCTCCAGTTGTGGAGGTCGTAGTTCACTCGGAAGTATCCCGTTTGATTGATGTTGCCCAGCAACCACGTCTCGCCGCCCATGTGACCCACTCTGTGCCTCTCTATAAATACAGCAGTAAAAAAAGTTTGAATGACACTTCTGACAGTCACTGTAGCTCAACTCACATGCTTATAAGCAGAAACATGCGGCGCTAAATGATGCCTAGACGCTCACCGACAGATGTGAATATATTCAGATAACAGGAAGTTCATAACAAACAAAATGTATATAAAGCAATTAAACTGACCGCATTTCTAATGAAATATAAACCAGTCACTATAGTTCATATGGACTGATGTATTCTACCTGACAGTGAACTTGCAAATCTTTTTATGCATATCAAATTGTGAGCACATTTATCATCTTTGAAATGAACTCAGACCTGCACAGAAATATACACGAAGAGACGATGCATTCAGCATTTTGTATGTACAACATCTGTAATCTATTGTGTTTGCCACGTTCTCAACCTGTAATATTCCAGCCAGACCTTGTGCTTTTTCATGGCTTTTTCGAGCGCTCATGGACTCAATGGATTTGCAGTGTATCGTGATCCAGGAAGCATCCAACCGTCAGCGGCCAGATTTCAAGAGTCATGCGGTGAGTTAATGCATATAAAAGGGCTCTCTATGTTACAGTGTGTGTTTCTTTCAAGAGTCATTGTCTCCGGCTCGGTGTCATCTGCATTGTTGCCCTGCTGAGGGCCGTTTTTCATGGAAGGAGAGCAGAAAATGGAGGCTGTTAAATGGTCTCATAATCAGGGGAAATTTCAGCTCTGAGCCACATGGATCGCTCGCAGAGCAAATTCAATTCCGGCTCTTGGAATTTGACTCGCTGCGGCTCCGTCCAAAGAAAATCCGCCTCGTTCTCCCAAAGGAGAGGAATGTAATGGAATAGGATTGAATGTAATGATGGTGGACGTGTGGGTGCTGCAACAGTGTGGGAATCACAGAAGAATAGCATTGAAGTGTTTAGTAAAAAAATATTTACATAAATACAGAGCTGAATTAGTCACATTTAAATCCAATTTAAGAAAAACTTTTTTATTTGGTATCTGTCACTGGCTGGATTTCATGGGTCAAGGACATGAGACCATTTTTTTTTATCAGGTCTAAAAATGGGAAGTCAAAAATGTCAGGGTGATATTAAACTGTCCTGACATCATCACAATGAAGGAAAATCCTCATTAGAATATAATGTGACTGTCTGTGTCCATAAGCTAATAAAAGCACTTTGTATAATTGTACCTGTTTTATTGGCGACCCACATGATGGTCTCTGTTGATATGTGACTGGAGTTTCCCACTGCGAACGTCAGCGGTATCTGCCACTGAAAGCTGAAATGAGACAAAGAGAGAAATAACAGATGAAAAGCTTCTGTTTGATCCCAGGAGTTTAAATGTCACTGCCGGCCGCAGATACAAACTGTATGACGCGCATAATCTGACACTATATGGACGCCCACAATTTAATGGGATTGTGGGATACATTCGTGCAATATCCTCTCTGTCTCAACACTAGAGTGACAAAATCAGGAGTATCAGATGATTGTGAAGCTCAAAGAAAACCCAGCAGTGTCAAAGCTCAAAGAAATCAGCTTTCATTCTTTCCCAGAGTGCTTTGCTTTCTCTCTCTATCTCTCTCTCTGTCACACACACACAGCTGTGTATCACTCGTCACCCGATCGCTGTCATGTTCTGTGTCGCCACCTCATTTTGATGTCGATTCATCTGTGGCTCTAAAGCTTTCATGTGCTATTGTGTGTGTATGAACATTTCTAGGTATGAGAGCCTCTCCAGTCAAACTCTGTCTGACAGCTGTCACAGTGGATGGCCGTCCCTCTTTCAGCCTGTCAAAATGTCTGACACACACGTGGACGAGTTCTGCTGTCTGCCAGCGTAAATTACCCCAGACAACAAGAGTGCAGCTAAGCTGACCCAAAGCAATAAATACTGTAACATTATGAGATCTAATGTAAGACTGGATCATTTGAACACGCTCCAGACAAATATTTGAACTTTAGCTTTACCTTCCTCAGCTTTTTTTATGGGTTCACTGCATGTGCACTGGGAAATTCGGAAGATCACGGACAACAACAGTCAATTCTGTGTTATAGGTTTAATGTTCCAGCGCAGTCTCATCCCAAGACGTCATATAACTGACGTCTTGGGACGTCTTTTGACCATACGTCAATATCCGCCTTTTTAGGGTACCCTTAAACGTCGGTTAGATGACGTTATCGGATCCTAACTCTACCCCAGACCTAAACCTACCCCTAAACCTACCCCGTCACCTAACTGACGTTAAAGGTAAAGCGTCAGTTGTATGACGTCCCAGGATCGTCATAAACCGACGTTTAAGGGTACCCTAAAAAGGCGGATATTGACGTATGGTCAAAAGACGTCCCAAGACGTCAGTTATATGACTTCTTGGGATGAGACTGTGTTAAATGTTCTATTGCTATTTAATGTGTTTTCAAATGTCACCGGAGTGTGTGAAAAATGACCATATGTGACCATGGACCACAAAAGCAGTCTTATGTGTCAATTTTTTTTAAATTGAGATTTATACATCACATGAAAGTTGAATAAATAAGCTTTCCATTGATGTATGGTTTGTAAGGATAGGGCAATATTTGGCCGAGAGACAACTATTTGAAATCGGGATTCTGAGGGTGCAACAAAATCTAAATATTGAGAAAATCAACTTTAAAGGTTTCCATTTCTGTTGGCGATTGTGCTGCATCCACTTACAAAAATACAATTTTGATATATTTAAGGTAGGAAATTTACTAAATATCTTCATGGATCATGATCTTTACTTAATATCCTAATGATTTTTGGCATAAAAGAAAAATGTCATCGATAAATAAAAGAAAAGAAAGAAAAAAAACGATAATTTTGACCCATACAGTGTTTTGTTGGCAATTGCCACATATACCCGTGCAACTTAAGACTGGTTTTGTGGTCCAGGGTCACATATACTGTATACTTGAAGTTGAATGTCTAGTTATTGATCTTCAATTAAAAGTATAGTTAAATCAACAGATTGTTTATAACTAAAGAATATGTAAGTATGGTATTTAGGGTAAAAACGTCCCTTCTGTAGAGGCTAAACGCACATTAATTGACATGATAATAAATAGTTGGCTGGCTTTTTAATTTGTTGACAAGACATGGTTACATTCAAATGGTCGATATCATTATAAAGTTGGGTGTCTATCATATTTATAATGAAGCCATCATATTTAAAAATGCAATTTTACTTAAGGTGTGCCTTTAGCCCCATTATACTTTATTCAGTGCCTGATAACTTGATAAGAAATGACAGAACATCGCTTAATGGTGTTTTCATGTTTAATCATGAAAATGTGTTAATGAATGTCTTTTAAATTACACATCATTTTATCAAAGTTTATACACCATCCCTTCCTTTGGATAGCATGTTAACATCTTAGCTATCTTAGCTTAGCTTATGCCACTACAGTAACTTCTTAAGAAAAGCTCTTTTCATTGGCTAGAACAACAGATCATGATAAGCCGTCTTTTATCTTGAGACAACATGCTAAAAAACACTCTGACAAACACATAGCAACACCCTGGCAACCGTCAGAGCAGCCTAGCACTGTGGCAGTGAACTTTACACAGGCACGCACCACATATTCCTCATAAATGTCAACATTTAGTCATTAAATATGAGAAGAGCCGTCTGGATTATTCATGATGTCAGTCTTGGCTGTGGGGAAAGGGTTGGATCATTAAGGATTTGTGTTAGTTGGAAAACTGACAGGAACGGACACAAATCCTTTTCAGGCTGCTGGTGACTCACCTTCATTCATTCAGGAAAGATGTTTTATGTTATTTAATGTGTCTTAATTATGTCTGAACAAGCCTCAATGAGGGTTTTGTGAAAAGACAGACCGAAATCTCTGTTATAAACAATATGGGAACTCTTTACTTAAAGCCTTTATGTATAATGCATTATAAAGTAATTCATAATGTATGCTGTAATGCGGTATGTCTTTTCATAAATAACTGTAACCAAAGTTAAAATGCTGAAATTGGTTGTTTGTCTTGTGTTTTAATGCATTATACTTTTTTTAGGCGTAACATAATTATAACAATGTTGTTTTATAACTGTGGTTACAATTATTCATAAGTCCATACAATGCATTGTAAGGTGCATTACAAGGCATATTCAATGCATTAAATTACTTTTAAAATGCATTATTAAAAAAGGTTTAATTAAAGTGTTGCCAACAAGATTTTTAAAGGCAGCAGAAACTGCTGTAAACAGCAGACACTGGAGATGCTGGGATGAAAGTTTGTATCGCAGAGGATATAACTATAACACAGTTGAGAAGACATTATGCATAAGATGAGGCTATATGAAGCCTGCTGGGAAACAGTATTTAAACGCATATGTTTATAAGGAGACTATAGAGAGAGATTCTGCTGTAGAAGATGAGCGCTGATAACAATACTTATGAATTCCAGAGATAATAGAAGCATCTGTGTGTGTGTTCAAATGAAATCACACAGCTACATTTACATAAAACTGTGTTCATCAGTGGGATTGAACAAGAGAAGAAAGCAAAAGAAAATTAAAGTTCTCCACAGGCTGGTAATTTGGTTGCTCATGTTTGTTCATTTATGGAAGCGTCTGTTATCATCATCGTTATTTACATCCCTCAGGAACTTTGTGTTATGGCCCAGAGCTTTAGCTAAAGCACGAATGAAGAGTGCAGTCTCTGCAGCAGACGGGTAAAGTGTGTGAGAGATGACACATGTGGGCATCATTTAATGTTTTTGGAACAAACCCGTGTTTGTTATCTGGAGTTATAGATATTAGTCACTTGCTCTTAATGGACAATATTATATAAATGAAAGCACCATGAGAGGAAGTGCATTACAGTGATTTTACCATGGTCAGGAAGAGTTATGCACACATGTGAAACGGAGACCCTGGCGATGGCAGAAACAGAACTTAAAAAGGTACCAATTTAAAAAAAATAATAATAATAGCGTACAATAAATAAATAATGTAATATTTAGGACTTTTGACATGTTATGACAATGCTAAACATTTACTGCCACAATGATTGGGTTGTTATAAGGTGTTCCGAGTAGTTGCTATAGTATTTTTTTGGTTAAGCATTAAAAAAAAACTTCTATAGATTAATAATTCAGGCAAATTATAATTAGCAATATATGACAGAGAAATGCCTGAGCCTTCAACACTATATCACCACTGTAAAAGAGTAACAGATCTGGATGTGTCTACATTTAAAATTCACTGTGATTAACACACTATCCTCTCTCTGCTCATGGGTTTTGAGGTCTCAGTCTCACTGTCTCTCTGTGCGGGTGTGATAATATATCAGGCTCTCTTCAGGGACCGCTGGCTTTTTCAATCTATAATGAGTCACTGGGGGCTTTTTGTGGCTCAACATGTGTGATACTGTAAATCCTAAAAAACACTTTTATCCCGCACTGAAGAGAAGAAAAAATACAAGTGTCTTCATTTGAAACCTTCCATGGATGTCCACACAGGCTGGAGTTTGTGTTGAGCTTGAGCTATAGACTTGCTTTAGACTTTCAATCAATCATCCAGCGACGGTTTGAAACCACTGGGACCGTGAGGAACATGAGGATGTTTTGCGGTATGAGTTAGAAAAGAAAGACTGTGATGTGCAGGGTATTGAGGAAAACTGTATATATTTATTTATTATGTGCACAGATTTATTTTATTTATTTTACCATTACACTTTTTTTATGTACAGCAAAGAAATTTAACCATTCGTTACTTTTATATTGTTGCTGTGGATTTTCCCTGCTATGAAAGACACTTTAGATCTACAGTTTTTTCTATGTTCACAGTTAAAGTTTCATTGTATTTCAGATGTTTTGCTCTGTTAACTGTCTGTACTCATTCCAGTGATGTCACATGATTGCATTACTGCACTGTGTGTGCAACGTTTCCAAGTGCAAACCGACTGTAAACTGCCTAGTATTTGTGTTTTCTGCACTTTGAATTATTATAGTGATACTGATTTTTCGCTTATATTCTTCACTGTAACAGTGGTGCTTGACAGATTTATTGCCAGGTTCTTGATGATATTCTCTTATTGTGGGTATCTGATCGTCACAATGTGAACCTGAACCTCCAATAACAAGTTTTTACGCAGTTTCACACCAACCTCACATACTCAGATCCACCTCGGGACTGTAAATAATTCACAGGAGTAACTGCACATATCCAACACAGTCAAGCCTGCAATGGGAAAATTAATTTGTGCCTTCAAGCGCTAATAAGTTGTTTATATTCTCTATGACATCACCTCAGCACAAAACCTGTGCTGTGAAAAATCCAAACAGAAGTCAGGTAAGATACGAGTGTGAAGGTGTTAATGAAGTCTGGAGCTGAAACGTTGCTTTTTACACTGGATCTGCAAACTCCTTTGATGATTTCAGATTCCAGGTGTGTTGAAGGACAGCGTCCCCATTTCAGGTATAAACTTCACTTGTCTAATATTTACATTTATGTCCACTTTCTAATGACTTGTTAAATTTTACTAACTTGAGGTTTTATAATTGAGAGGAAATCTGTGACCTATGAGCTAACTGCTAATACGCTAACAAGCTGATGTAAACAATCAGATTAGCTGTAGCTGTGACAATTTCAAATAAATATTTAGCATTAAATACATTACAAGATCTTTACAAAACCCTAACTTTGTAAAAACAAGCGGAAATGTTTATAATGCTAGCATGCTAGGCTTCCACAGTAAATGCATTACTATAAACACGTTTTCATTCTTTTTACAAACTGAAGGTCGAGTCAAAATTAATTACTGGGTAATAAATAACAGACCAAATATGATGTAAATACAGCTGCTGTTGTTTATAACCCAAAAATATTACTTTAATGCACATTTGAAAGAAGATGTGGATTAGTGTCATGAAGTTGAAGGAGAGAACCCAAACGCAGACGATATGCAGACACTCAAGGTTTATTACGACACAAAACAGAAAACAAAACCCACGAGGGGGCAAAACAGGACTGGAAATAGTATACCTTGACTAAGACAAGATGACAAATTAAGACTCTGACTTGACAGGAAACAAACAACAAAACAAACTCACAATTCTCATTAAACTGGATACAGATGAACCACTCACAGAGATCAACACGCAATGTTTGACAATGTACCGACACAGGACAGCAAACACAAGGGGATAAAATAGGGGAACACTAATGACAAAGACAGGTGAAGCAGACTAGACAATAATGACGAGACGAGGATAACAAGGGGGCGGGGTAACGTAACGAGACAACACAAGCACATGGCTGAAAACACAAGACCATGTGCTTGCACACAAAACATGATTCTGTCATGATCCTGCCTCAAGACTAGAAAATCAAGGACACGAGGGCAGAATCATGACAATTAGCATATCAAGTGTGGCTCTTTGCTAGCTGGATTATGAAGCTGCTTCAAGAATATCAAAGTGTCTCATAAAAGCCAGCATGTGTTTCAAGTACAACGGTGTGGAAGAAATATCATTTTTCTGTTGAGTTTGGACATCTCCAGACAGACTCTGGACCCTCTATGAACTTTAATGAGATGGCAGTGGACATGAAACACACAGAAGGAGTGTGAAATACATTCAGACTGACCTTCTCTGTTTTCCTTTTGTTGCAGCCAATGTTTCTGTCAGCACATTTTGCTAGGCTGGCTTAAAGCCTCAAGTGAGGTGTTACACTGCATTTACAAAGGTGCCAAATCCCCCTGCATTCTGGCAGGTTGTCTGGTACTCAGCTGAACACCCGCCTGAGGGGCAAAGCAGGAAAGAGACGCCCCCTACTCGCAACACAGCTTTGCTATTGATTCCTGGAGCAGCTCTGCTTCTGAACGCCTCCGCAGAAGACCGCAGCGCTCAGAAAACACGTTCATGTAGGAGGAGACGTTCAAAGCAAGGTGGCTTTGTCTGCTCTGAACAAATGAACTCACGAAAGAGGCGGACAAACACATTTCTACCTGTATGTTTCATATTTATGACATTAGATGGCTTATGGAGAGCTAGCCTAGCCGTGCAGAATGAAGATAAATCTGATGCTTTTATGATTCCAGAAATTATGCTTTTATCTCACTATATTTATTACTATCTCCTATTTCTAACTAATAGATTCAACTTTTTACCACCTTTAGTCAAAAAGCAACCACAATAATATTTCCAATAGATTACAAGCTAAGAAATGTTTTCTCATGTCCTGAAATTGCAGGTGTTTGACATTGATATTGTACTCACCTTGAGAAACGTTATTATCACTATCTAAATGGCAATACTGATTAACAACCCTCACCACACAGACTCAAACTGACAGTTCAGAAATACAATTCAATTCTTAAATCAATTCTAACAGTGTCTGATCTAAAACAAAAGGAGGATTTCTAAAACGGATCAGTGGCGGTATTGAATTATTCATCTCACACTAACAAAGAATTAAACTAATTTATCTGCCAGTGACACATGCAGTTTTCTGTGACAATGCAGACGGGTGCCAAACAGCATGTGGCGGTGACGGGTTAGCGTAAATCACTAATAATAAATGAAATGCTCAGTTAATAGCAGCTTGATATTGTGTGCATGAACATGATGTGAGATCTAATTCATACAAATACTCTTTACACTGTCCTACTAAAGGAAAAAAAACATCAGAAACCAGCCTAAGAAGGTTTGCTGGTATTAGCTGACTGACTTGGTTTCTATTGAAGACCATCAAACATTGTAGGCTGGATTAAGCTGTTTCTTTTAGTAGGAGTGATAAAAGGCAGACAAGATGTGCTAGGCAGTAAACTGTTCACATCCTTTGGATAAGTGAGGAAATCCTCTGGGTTTTCATGCTCTTGTGGGGCGCTAGGCTAGTCTTTATCTGTCTAGCTCTGCTCATAATCTCCATATGGTCTATTCTTCTGTATTTCTTCCAAAATATCTTAAAGTTTAATCTTATTTTGAATCAAAATGGTTTCTTCTCTTCAGCTGCAGAACAACTGTAGGATCATTTTCTCTCTGAGCTTGATCTGATCACAGGAAACTATCAGAGCATCACTGTGTGGGATTTTTACATTATTCAGCATTGCAGTGTTCAGCAAACATACAGGCCTCTGCGTATTATGGTGGATTTTCTGCACTGAATTATGAGCTCATGGAGAATCAGAGGTTAGTTGACTGATGGTGTTTCATTTTCATGCAACAACCTGTTGTAAACAATAGCACATTTGGCATATTTGAGATATAGCACATTTGACATATAGCACATTCGACATATAGCACATTTGAGATATAGCACACTACCTTTTGTTGAACAGCTCAGGATTCTGGATCTTGGCGTCCGTGTCGTAGACAAAGTGCTCTTGGGAGATGGTGACACTATTGTCAAGACTGTCGTTCTTGCTGATGGTGACGACAGGGTAGCCCATCTGCAGGGTCCAGCGGTCCATGACCTGCGTGATGTTGATGTCCTTTCCCTCCCGCTGCAAGGCCTGTGACACAAAATATCACACATCAAGCATTGAAGGGCATGTAATGGCGAGTAGAAGGTGAACATAGATTGTGTCTGATAGTGTCAGTTGAGTGGAAGTGAGTTGTGTTGGTGGGCTTTATGTTTAGGGACCACCTAATGAAACATATTTATAAATTAATTCAGATCTGATGGCTTTAATGGGTTCTTATGCACATATTTGGGCTGATTCAGGTTTTCTTTGTCTTGCAAAACTAAAATGGATGTAAATAAAAATCCATTTAGGACTTTTAATTAAAAACTCTTAGTGAATAGAAAGGTGATTAAAATTCACTGTTCTTTTACACCGCACATGGAGGAACATTACAAGGCAATTTCCAGTTATCTAACCTCTCTATACAAGAGCAACGCCTGTAAAAGAGTAAAAATAGATTTATAAGTCTGATTTCTTCAGAGGAAGCTTCTCCTCATTTTTATAGTAGTAAAACATAAAATTGGATCTCACGGCTCATTAATGAGGAAAGCTCGTAATGTGACTAAGTTTTGTCCCTGGAGGAAATATACTGCATACACGTTTTCTACTTACTCTTTGAAAATGCTTATATAAATGACTCGTATGAATTGTTTTCAAAAGCTCTCTGTGTGTATGAGGAACTTTCCAATGCTTTATGAACCTTTTCACCTTGAGCTGGTGTCTCGATTTTGAAAACAATGATATGAAGGGTAGGTGACTGCAAATCATTGGACAAACCTTGAGAAAAATGTATGTAAAAAGAAAAAATATTAAATGGTTCTCCATATACATCAAATATTGTAAAAAGTTTGATCAAGGAAGCTTTGAAACAAAAAACTTGATGTCTGTAGTACTTACAACAATCCCAGAATACACTGCCAATGGAGTGGAGCGAAATATTGACTATAAATACATAGTTCACGAGTTCACACTTACAAATAATTCGATTTGACAGAGTAAAAGAGGGGATGGCCTCCAAGCTCAGAATTTGGCCCGAACCCAGAGTACTCCCCCATATCCCCGGGTGGGATAGGAACTAGCTGAGACTGAGAGCAGGAGTCGAGGTGGCGGAGGGATGCAGAAAAGACTGTCGAGGAACGAAGGTGAGTCGACTATATATATATAGCCCTCCAATCTTACTCCAATCGTAGATCATTTGATCTGCTCCTCTGGAACTTTGTTAATAAAACATCATATTTCATTCAGAACAGAAATGGACTATTTTACTTAGTGTCTGTGTGTGTTGTGTATTTTTAAGGTTATTAGAGTATCATGTTTTTAGCAACATGATAACATCAAATTCTACTGGAATCAATCGTGAGCCAAGCCTTCTATGTGTTTCATATAAAGAGTATTTGTGTATCAATGTGTATCATTATTTTGAGGTTTCATTTCATTCCTGGTGCAGCTGCGTCTGTATCCGCAGTAGACTAGGTTTGGATCAGAGAGAATGTCATTGGCTCTACAGATATTTCCAATCATTTCCATTCACGGCATCATAGGTGCAGCATTTCTTATTTACTGGAGCCGATCAGTAATTGTTTATGAAATTAGTTGTAACCGTTGGAGAGCTACAGTGTTTCTGCAGCAGCACTGAGTCAGTGTGTTGTGGAGACCCATGGGACTGGAAGAGAAATGTGGCGGCAGAAACAAAGTGCTCTGTCAGGCTCTCTTGCATTCTGCAAACTTCAGCTTGACTAGATCAGTCGAGCATGTGAACCTCCCTTCTCTAGTGTAACTGGGACACTCTTGCTTATAGCAATTGATTATGACCATTGTGAGTATTAACTAACTAAGCTTGTATGAGATGACTTTAATTGATTAGTGTCTAGGATAGTATATAGAAAATGTTAAAGGGGTCCAATTATGCCCTTTTACGAAGTCTTGATTTTGTTTTTAGGGTATACAAGAATATGCTTTCATGCTTGATTGTCCAAAAAACACATTATTTTATGTATTCTCTGTCAAAACAGTGTGTCTTTGACATAGCGATAACACTGTCTTCTCTAATGCAGCTCAACCAGGCCTTGCACCTTTTTATCACATATTCCGTGGGCGTGGATTATTTAAATAAGTAACATTGTGACTTCACAAGATCCAGAAAAAAGCACTGCAAACGAGTCATTCATTGTAGTTCTTGTAAAGTGAATTCTGTTAAATAAAATATCTCCCTTTCGTGGACTTTGAGCTTTGTAACCCTGCAGAACTTTTTTTATGCTCAAACACTAACATTACACACTAACCAAGTTGAAAAAGTGAACCCCTTTAAGTGAAACCGGACAACTCCTCACATCTGTCGATGACTCACAGTTTGTTTACCATGTGAATACAGAAGAAGAGGCTCTGCAGAGGCTGATGACAGCAGCTGATGTTCCTACATTATGAATCATTTTCTGTAGGACGCTTTCAGGAAGCTACTGTACCTTTGCCCTGGTGAAAATAATTAAAGGAAGTGTAGGCCGGTCCGGCGATGTGTCGTGAGCTTGACAAAGGGCTTTGTGGGCGCTTAGCACTGCCAGATTATTGCAGCAAATTGGATTTCATGAATAGCTAATGAACACAGCACATATCAGTATTCATTAGATGATGGGCTGTCACGGACTGTTAATGTACCAAAATTTGACAGTGCCTCACAAACACGGTCAGTGAGAGGATACGAGGGTCCTGGTGACATGAATTCACCTTTAAATCCTTTCTGTTCTGAAAGAGAAAATGAAGAAGCGGGCGCCCATCAGCCGACACTTAGGAGAGTGATGTGAATGACAAAACGCTTCATACGATGCTGATAGCTGCTAAATGTCCTGCTGTTCCATTACAAACTATAATAACTTTGAGATTACGCTTGAAAGTAATCTCATTAAAGTCATGACACTTTGTGAGATGAGCGCTTAGAGGACTTGCTGAGAGTCGTTTGACTTTAAAAGTACATCTCAGTGCTGATGACTTGAACCCAACGCTCAACTTCACTGTGATTATAGATGGCCAGCTGTTTCACTCGCTCTTACTCAGTGTCTTAAGCTTTTTATGTCCTCATCTATTTCTTAAAAAGCTTAAATCTTACATATTAGATAGATAAGGTTTTATATTAAGTCTGTATTATTTACAACTGCACTGCACAGGTGTGTTAGCATATTAGCATTATGTAGCGCCACACCACCAGCCTCAATTCATTTTGTTATCTTAGCCATTACATCCGTTTCATCAATTAGATTACAGATTACTTGATACCTCCTCCGTCCATGAAGGTAAATGAGGCGTATAGAAATGGCATATAAGAAACAAAATTGTAATACTAGCACTTGTTTTGCATGTGTGTGATTAAATGTATTCAGGTTTTATTGTGATTTATTGTTGAAGCTTTGCATTAGCATTAGCATTGCAACTTTAGTTGTCCTGTTAACCAAACTGAAGGGATTATGGGAAATGAAGTTTGCCATTAAAATATGGTTGCTAAACCTTCTGTGGTACTAGAAAATATGGAGAAATTGAAGCAGCGAATCCCAGGAAACATACCTGTCAGTGTTTTTGTCAGGAGGGGGGCAGTCATGCTAAACCCAATAAATACTGTATTTTTGAGACCTGAGTGACACACCTAAAAGGTGAATTTTCTTTCAACGGTGGATACTTTCTAGATTTTCCTTGGGTTATTCTTGGCTACACCTGAGCTGAAGGGCAGATGCTCATGTTTAATCTGAGAGACTCATCAGGCTTGTCAGCAATTATGTGACACTTCACTAAGCTGGTCTGATAAGATTCGAGTAATTTATAAGTTAATTAAAACCACCAGAATCAGCAGCGGCAAGACTTCAAAATCAGTATCTGTGAACATTTGCATTTAGCAGGTTACAGTGATCAGATTTCTGGATCAATATGTGACCCTCCCCTGTGGAAAACTTTTCATATTAAGTGAAACCTCAAGTTTAAAAGCAAGAATATCAAACGCAACCCAGCCTGTGCATCAAACTCCTTCCAATGTGGCATTTCTATAAAACCCTTATGTGTTGATGTGAGTAGGTGGTGTATTGGCATGAATTGTGAGCCACTGATGATATGCAGTTATATAATGGCCTCTGACCTACATGTCTATGCAGCGCATGAATCTCTGAACACCTGCCTGCAGGAGACGCTCTGGGTGAATTTAAGTAGGTTGAACACATATAATTTCACTCGTCAGCTCGCCGCTCATTGACCCCATCGATGATTCCCACTCGTGGATGGAGGTCTCACACCCAGAAGATGCTTAAGATCTTACCTCTGAGAATTTGTTCCACAAGTCATCTCGCGCCGCGTTCCCATACATGTGCGTCATCAAGTAATCCTGCAAACAGACAGAGACGGAGATCAATATTGGAAGAGAAATAAATTGGACTTGGACAGGAATTGTGAACTTGGGAAACGAAATAAGCCAAAACAATAACATTACTAATCCGCTCAATTCAAGCTGAACATATGCAAATTAGCAGCAGATGTTTGGGTGTGATTGGGTGTCAGTTCAAGGGAGGACCATAAGGAGGCCAATTAGAGGCTGATTATGTTGTTCAAGTCGATGCTGCATCAGCGTGTCACAGAATGAGTAACATACAAATCAGCAACACAATTTTACAGGAGTTTCTTTCAACACAATGCTAAAGTTATCCATATTAAAATAAACACCCTGGGTTATGAAAAAATAATGGGGGAAAATCATTAATTCATTCAGTGACTAAAAACTTAAATACTCTTACAAAGAAGTACTATGACGATATCTGATATCCATATTCACACAACAAACCGAAAATGTATTTACATGATACCCATGTACAACTTGCTATTACCTAAATTTAGTAAACATGGTACTTTTTAAGTGAACATTTATAAAGAAGTAAAAAGTGAGCTTTGTGAATAAACACCTCACCATAAGTCAGCAAAGTAAATACAAGTACTTCAACATCAATCACAGACAAATGTGCAAAGTGGATGTAATGTCTGTAATGTTGTATATTACTGAAGCTAAGACACTGGTGGGTGTTCATTTCACTGCTAAAAGACTTCAATCTGTTAAACAGAGGCAGGGCTTGTGCCAAACGCTACATTATCAGTGTGTCTGTTCTGCCCTGCAGTCTCAGTCATACAGGTGGTGGGCGACATGAAGAAGGACTCTGATCCTAGAGAGCACATTTACATTCATCTGATAAGAACATCTGGTGGGAAGCCTTTTCCCTGCTGTGCGAGATTCATCGATAACTCTCAAGTGACCGTGAGCGATAAACCCGTCAACTGTAATCCTCTTCCTGTTGCTGGAGTCAAGAGCACATGCTGACATAAAATAGCATGTTCTCTGTTAATTCTGGGGTATGTGACATACAATGGGCTGATTTCGAACTTCCTTTATACTGCTTTAAAGGGATAATTCTCTCATTTTCCAAACTTCTGTGGAATACAGTCTTGTGTTCTGAAGTCATAAGAGAGCTTTGTGTGATGAAAAGACCAAAACAAGTCAGATTTACACAGTTAAATGCCAGCACTCAATACCATTAAACACACTCAATACTATTGGCTTTTGAGTGTATTGTGATGCACCAGGTTTGAAAGATTCAATGAGATCTTAGTGAAGATTTAATGTGGATAATCAAAGACTATAAATATGGATTTGGAAATGACATGAGCATAGGCAGATTTTATTTTAGGGTGAACTTGTCCTTTAATAAGGTAATTATTTTAGACTTTGTTTCATGAATCAAATCAAAGGGGGCACTTGTTGAAATGTGGATAGGCGTCATGCCGAGAGGTTTGAGCAAATTGCATTGGGATCCTGAAAGCGTGACCCAGTCCAGCTGGCCTCCATCGCTCTACATGCTCTGCTGAGCTCTCAGAGAGGCTGGGATTTGAGTCTGGAGCAGATCCAGATTCATGTTACCATCCTGATGAATCTGTATTAAACCAGTGCAATTCCTTCCTTCCTCTCTCTCTCTCTCTCTCTCTCTCTCTCTCTCTCTCTCTCTCTCTCTCTCTCTCTCCTCCATCATTGACCTGAAGAGAAGTGACCATGTGGCCCCATCTCTCCTCTGAGAGTGCTGTCAGAGTGTCGTCATTATTTGGATGTGTGTGTTTATACTCTAAATAAATCTAATAAATTATACAGAAGCCAGTTTGAATTCATTGATTTAAAACAATAAAATGCATGGGAAACTGCACCACTTGTTGAATAAACTTTTGTTTCATAACTTGAAACAAAATAATGCACCTAGAGAAAATTATATTTTTATTTTAAATATAACATTTTTGGCATTCAAAATTAATACAATTATAATGAAATATGTACATAATCTATATATGGTTTTATAATGTGCGAATTTTTTGTGCCTTAAATTTATCTTTTTGTGATTGTATAAAGATGCTGAATTGCATATTTGACCGTTGTCCCTGCATTCGGCAGGTATAAATTGGCTGCTGAATGAGATTTTCGCAGTATGAAATACCCATTCTGCTCATTTGCATACATTTGCATAGCAGCGAGGGACCACCCAGAGCCATTTTATGTTTGTGATGACATTTTCCAGTCTGCTTGGCCTATAAGTGTGTATTTTAATGACCGTGTTGCTACCCACCACTGTTTAATGACCAAAACACTCTTATAGACGGGAAAGAGAGAAAAACACACACATACAGCGTTCCTCATGCATGATAGTTTACTAGCACTAACCGTCTATCAATTACAGAGACTGGTGTTGCTATAAGCTAAGCTAATGTGACACTGTAATGAGAATAAACAATACATATAACAGACAAATAATGGGAATTTTTAATTTGGAGACAATATTTGATAAATATATTTATAATTACTCTATCCTACATCTTGTGAATTTTATTCAATGTTACAAAGAACTCTGGGGCTGTCTTTAGCCAAACTACCCTATTTTAGTAGCGGGCATAATGTTGCTCTACCTTTCAGAAAAGCCTGTACTATACTTATATGTTGTACTTGTGATGCCGAAAAGTCCGTCTAGTTAGACAGATCAGATCTAAAGATACACTTCATAACTCAACAGATTCCAGTGGGATGGTTGTGTGTGTAATTAACTTAATGTAATTAGCAAAGGCTAGTTACTCTTCTGACACTCTTCAGGACAGAATAATATCCTGAACGTCCCTTCATCAGATATTATAACCACATTCAGTTATGGTTCCTCATTCTGCAAAGCCAAATTACTTACCAAGGGAGACAAAAGATTGATCGCTTTCGATATGTAAATCCCCCGGAGCTAAAACACAAGTTTTCTGTGAGAGCCTTCACCACAACAGTCAAAGCAGATCATAAATAATTCATTATTCATCCTTCTAAATGAGTTCCCTCAAAAGTAATACAAGAAGAAATATGTCTACAATTTTCCTGCATATGAAAGTCATTTTGAGGCAATGGAGGTAGATTGTTGTCTGAGGTGTTGTGTTTACCTGTTCTTCCCATCAATCACACAGAGACAGACAGAGATACTGAAAGTTCCCATAAGAGAGAGAGACAGAAAACAGCAATAATGAGGCGGAACAGCCAAGCCAGAAGGGGCTGCTGGGAGAAGAAGAGGAAGATGGGAAAAATGGATCTTCTCTGTCTTCAGGAATGTTGGGAAATTGAATCGAGGAGTATCTGGCTATTTCATCTGTATTCAGAAAGAATTATTAACCCACAATATCCGCAGGGATCTGATGGACTGTCATTCTCCAAGTCAGGATCCCGTTGAGAGCGAAAAACAGGACTATGAAGCACTGAATCCAGGGAAGAAGCTTCCCGCTGTTCCACATCACATCCAGAGGATGAAGATGGACTGTAACATGCTGAAGTTTATTTCTCCAGGGTAGTAGCGCACTTGTCCTCTGCTATTCACAGGTCAAGCATTTCACATTTCCAGCCGGAATGAATATTTCCTACATCCCATAATATGATCCATCTGAAAGTGGCTTTAAAAGCGATGGGCAGTGTGTGTAAATGAGACGGGAACGCTTCATCACTCCAGCAGCTGTATGAGCCTGAGAACCATTCAGACTTCATTTATGACTCCCACTTTTCTTTTATAAGAGACATTCATACGCCCGCCTCACCAGCCCATCCACCATTTACCAATAAAGACGCCCTCATCCTCACAGTCAGAGAGAGAGAGAGAGAGAGAGAGAGAGAGAGATTTTTTTATTTTAAAAAAAGCCAAAACAATTTTATTCCACACAATCAATTCCAAAAAAATCCCACACTATACACCTCAAATTAAAAAAAAGAGAAAAATATAAATCCCCTTTCATCACAGCACAGAAAATATTTTTGTAGCACCACTGCATTTCAAAAGATGTCATATCATTCATTTATTTATAATACTTAGTCAACAACAAATTTAAATAGACACATAATCTCTTGGCCAAGTCTATTCTCTATTCTATTTTTCCTGCTTATATAGATTCCAAGTTTTGCTTGATCAATTACAAAGTTGATCATCTGCCATTTTACTCTTTGCTTTTGGCTATACCCTGCCCCAAAAATAAAAGCATTATGCGTGAACTTTTCTTCAAATTTTGAAAACACTTGACTCAATAAAACAATAAGTGATTTAAGTCTTACACATTCTAAAAAACAATGAAAAACGTTTTCCCTTAAACCACAAAACACACACTTATCATTAACACTTGTATTAATAACAGAAATGAATGCATTAACTGCCACAGAACCGTGTAAAATTCTCCATTGTAAATCTCCAGATTTCTTAATCAATGGTGGTTTATAAAACACTCTCCAAAATGGTTTCGTTTTCTCACCCATCCCAAGCTTCTCCTTCCAGACTGTATCAACTCTCCCATTTAAAGCAACTCTATTAAAAACTTTCACACAACACTGATATAGAACTTTCCCCTCTACTATATCCAAGTCCAAGTCTTGCAGCTCGTGAAGGTCTAGCAAAGGACCTGACATATCCTTCAAGTCAGGAGTAATTCAAATTTTCGGAACAGGATCATTTTTATCAGGAACCTCCAAACCCTTTCCAAAATCCTTAAGTAGTGTGATTTCCTCATCCGTGAGCTTCTTCCTCCACTTTTCTACTATTGTTCCTGTGTGGCGAATTGACCTTTGCCCCAGCATCAGAGCTACTGCTGCAACATCGCTTAAAGGGATACTCCACTTTTTTTGGAAATAGGCTCATTTTACAACTCTGTAGTTACATCGTGCACTAAGACCGACGAAAAATGTAAAGTTGCGATTTTCTAGGCTGATATGGCTAGGAACTATACTCTCATTCCTGCGTAATAATCAAGAAACTTTACTGCCGTACCATGAGTGCAGCAGGCATAATGATATGAGGC